TGCCAGACAAGCGCTTATTGTACTGAGCCATCTGCTCGGCCCCTAGAGAAATTTTAAGAATATTATTTTCAAATAGCACCTATTAAAAAATTAACTATAGGGCTGGGGATGTAGTTCAGTTGCACAAGCACCTGCATGGCAAGTTCAATGTCCTGAGTTCAAATACTGGTACCAAAAAAAAAAAAAAAAAAAATTCAGCTATAGTTTCTCATGATAGCTTTAAACCTACATGGTATTTCATGCATGTTTCATGAACCTAAGACATTTTTCACCTACCTTTCAAAATCCTTGAAACTGAGGTACATTTTATCATCAGTGAGAATTTACTAATGCTCTCAGCCAGGACGCAGTCATAGTTTGTCACTGCCTATGCATGCACATGTATGTCACAGATATCAATACTGTTCTTATCTAAGTAAAACCAACACATTGTATTTCATAAGACTAAAATTCAAATTACAAGTGACATAAAAACACTTCATTATAGTTCAGTTTGCAGGTTTTCCTCTTAGTGATAAGACCAAAGACATTTTTTATTTAATAAAATACTGGGGGTTTTTGTGGCCTGCTCAGCCAGCCCTGGGGGCGGGCTAGTGCTGCATGTGGTGCCAAGGTTTGAACCATGGTCCCTGTGCTTGCCTAAGCAGGCACTTTAGATTGCTGAGCTATCTCAGTGGCCCAAAATACTGTTTTTCTTACAACCAATAGATTATCTTCTAATCTTACTTCCATATAGCTAACAAAGAACTACATTGGGGAAGATCTCCAAGGCCCAGCGTCCCATATTTACTTGCTTTATTTTATTTTTTGTATTTTAGGGAAGGGTCTACAGGGTGTTCCGGGTCTCATTACTAGATCACACTTGTAGTGATTCTCCTGTTTACAGCCTCCCAAGTGCTGGGATTACAGTGTACACCACCACATCCAGTAACAACTGTTGTCTCAGCGAGCCCTGGTGGCAAGTCTGGCACAGTAGGCCTGGGGATCGAACCCCTGGCCTACAACTGCTTGCAGGCACTTTAATCCACTGAGCTATTTGGGCAGCCCCTATGCTTTCTTTTATATAGCAGACCAGTGGCCAAAGTAGTCATCAGTACGAAGGGAAGAAAAAATGCAGGGTCGATACTGCATACACTTTAGTTATGTATCAGAGATTAAGTTATATTAGATAGCAGAGTCAGCTAGCTACCCAACAAACAGCTGCTGAATGGGTTGATTCATAGCCTAAATAATTTTTGCTTTTTGATTTATTTTAGCTGTGATAAAATGAAGCATAATCATGTGCTACCAAATGACATTTTGGTCAATAATGGATCAAATATACAACTATGGTCTCAAACTTAAGTGTATGACTGTGGGTTCAGTCCCAGGCAAGGAAAAGCAAACAAACAAACAAGCAAACAAACAAAGCACTACCCACAAGTGCAATCTGTAGATTAACACAAATTTTTCTCCATGATTATGAAAAAAGGAACAGGTTTCAAAACAGGGCTAAAGTGCTGAGTGTGGTGGCACAGGCCTGTAATCCCATCATTTGGGAAGCTAAGGGAGGATCACCATAAATTTAAGGCCAACCTGGGCTACATAGTGAGTTCAGGGTCACCCTGGATGCAAGACCCTATCTCAAACAACAAGGAAAACAAAATAAGGCTAAAAGTATTTGACTGAACATTAACTATTCATCTGTGTTACAATAACATTTTAAAATGTATATCTTTATTAAAACAAAAAGATCAGGGCCAGCCAAATAGCTCAGTGGAGTACAGCGCCTGCTTAGACGCAGAGGTGGAGTTTAATGCAGAGGCAGGAGTTTGATCTCAGGTGTACCCTGTTGGCCCCACCTTCGGGGTGAGTTGAGATTTGAGACTGGTTGTGGTGGCATGTACCTGTAACCCCAGCTCTTGGGAGGCTGAACACAGGTGGATCATTACAAGTCCGATCTACGTAGTGATACCCTGTACAACCTTACTAAAAATACAAAATAATAATAATAGTAATATTAACAAATAATTTAATTATTAACAAAATAATAAATTAACAAAATAATTATTAATAATAATATTAATATTAATTTAAAAAAGATCTAAGACCAGAGTACTTATGCAAACTCAGTTTTCCCTGATCTGCAGTTTTGCTTTTGAGAGTTTCTGGTTAACTATAGCCCCAAAATATTAAATAAGCCAGGTATGGTGGCACATTGCTATAATCCTTGTACTTAGCCAGCCCAAATTATATAGAGACCCTGTCTCAACAAAACAAAAATTAAATTAAAATGACCAACAAATACACAATTCACATATGTTAAACTCTGCATTCTTCAAAGAAATGTAATTAAATCTCAAATGTCAAGGGCCGGGGAGATGGCTCAGTGGAATAAGCGCTTCCCTGGCAAGTGCAAGGGCCTGAGTTCAATTCCCGGTTCTGGAAAAAACAAAAAAACAAAAACAGAGTACTGTAATTTCGGGCTGGTGAGATGGCTCAGTGGTCTAAAGCACCTACTTAGAACAAGCTTAGCAAAGCACAGGGACCACAGTTCAATCCCCCAGCACCACATGCCAGCCAGCCCCGCCCCCCTGGTGGGCTGAGCTGCCCCCCCACACAAATAAATAAAATTAAAATTAAAAAAAAAAATCTCAAATGTCCTGGTGTGTCTTACCCATGACGTGAATCTTTTCTTTTTCCAACACATTCATGTTGTACTGTATATGCTAAATTGAGTAAGTAGCCATTTTGGTTATCTGTCTAGTACATATGTCTTGGGAGAGTCTGCAGTTTCAGGCATCCACTAGAACCATGGAATATATTTCCCATGGAAAAATGGGGACCACTGTCTAAAACACAATAGTTGCAAACAAATACAAACAACCTTACCTTGTCCTGTAACTATGACAGCTATTCCTTTTTCTAGTTCTTCGATACCTTTCTTATACCATTCCACAGCTTGCTCCTTCTGTCCTGCTTTAAAATAGAAATCATAATGAGAATAGAAAGAACCTGTCAAATACGGCAAACAATTAAACAGAGGAGAATAAGAGGTATACAATAGTAGTCTTTTAGTTATTCCTTTGTGTTCAACAGTAGAATATTTTCATCAGCACACCCCACAAATGGACTTCTCTTCCACCCTAGGAGTCATGATTCCACCTGAGTCTACAGGGTGGATTTCAAAGAAATAGATGTAGCTCAGTTCCACAACTGACGCCTGGCCACCAGTAACTGTCATGGTCATTATGCATGTCCACAACACACTAGAACTTTGTGCGATATCCTATCCTCAAACTGTTAGAAGTGCTGGTCATTTACTTGCCATTCCAGTATTTATCTTATGTTTTACTCTTAGTACTTCTTTGCTATCATGAAAACTTTTTCTTAGTTCAATTGTTTTGAAACATTTAATTTTCTGAATATTGCTTAATCTTAATTTTTGTTCTAAGATTTATACTGTATCTTTGACTTACAATTTATTTAAAAGACACTGTATGATATCTTCTAGTTTTAGAAACTTTAAAAAGTATAAAAAAATAAAATAGAAATAATTATTTGTATATACTGTAAGTACGAAGGGTACATCTCACATTTCTCAAACCATGCTGGTGATAGTTGATACCAAAAAACCAAGCTGTAGTGAAATAAGTGTAAGAAAACATCGCTATATGGCTTCCTAGTACTTTTGGCAACTTAGCATGTACATGAATCTCCAACACAGCCAGTACTCATGTCTGCCAACATTTTAAGGCTGTGAATCTGTTTTTGATTACTGTCTCATAGCAGGATGCTTGTAACAACTGAAATGTTGCACTAGGAAAATAAATTTTATTTAGAGAAAATTTAATAAGTAGCTTTGAATATATATACTGTTGGAAAATATGAGGGAAAAGCACTATTCAACCTCTTTGTACTCAAATGTAATGTAAGGGCCAAACAGCTCAGCAGACTAAAGCACGTGCTTGGGGCTGGAGAGATGGCTCAGTGGTCTAAAGCACCTACTTCAAACAAGCTTGGCAAAGCACAGGGACCGCGGTTCGATCCCCAGTACCACATGCCAGCCAGACCCGCCCCCTGGTGGGCTGAGCTGGCCACACACACACACACAATAAATAAATGTAATAAATAAAAAATAAATAAATATTAAAAATAAATAAATAAATAAATAAATAAAGCACGTGCTTAGAAAGCACAGGGACAGGGTGCCAGACCTGCCCAAGGTGGGCTGAGTACCCAGACTGGGCAAATAAATAAATAAATAAAGCACGTGCTTAGAAAGCACAGGGACAGGGTGCCAGACCTGCCCAAGGTGGGCTGAGTACCCAGACTGGGCATGGTGGCGCCTACGTGTTAATCCCAGTACTTAGAAGGCTGAAAACAGGAAGACCACTGAGTCCGACCTGTGTAATGAGACATTATAGTCCCTGTATTAAAATATGTTAAAAAAAAAAATCTAATGTAACATGTTCACTGCTGGTTGGCTCCAGTTTGCTTATTTGACATAGGGTCTCACTTTATAATTCAGGCTGGCCTTGAACTCACTATGCAGTCTGGGCTGGCCTCAAACTCACAGCAATCCTCCTGCTTCAGTTTTTGACTGCTGAGATTACAGGTGTCTACCATTACACCCAGCTTCAAGTTTTTATTAAACATGATTGTGTTGAGACAACTAGTATACTACAAGTTTGGCATTTAATTATACATCTATTTTCTTTGAACCAAATGACTGATTTAAAACATTAATTGACATAAATTAAGCTTTAAAAGGGTATGCTAAAACTTTAGCATAGTCAAAGTATATATAGGGTACTTCTGTAAAGTGGCAATTAATTATATGGAAATTTCATTTTGTTTTCTGTTTTGAGACATGGTTTGGCAGTCTAACCAGTCTGATATTCAGGCTGGCCTTGAACTGACTTTGTAGCTGCCTCAGCCACCTAACTACTAGGATTACAAGTATGTACTACCATGCCTAGCAAATCTCAACATTTTGGAAATTAATCTCTTATTCTATAGACTGTGAAACTTCATGAGTGTCCAATACTGGAATGCAGTAAAGTGAAGGTGATGATCACTGATTAGAATTACCCTTTATTGTCTCCCCTTCTCATAACCGCATTTAGTGACACAAAAATTTATTCCTTAATTTTATTTAAAATTCATAATCAATAAAATACCATGACTTTTGATAATATAAAATAGATGAAACATTTTTAAACACAAGCTGGGTATGGTAGTGCATGCCTATAATCCCGTCACTCAGGAGGCTGAGGAAGGAGAATCACTGAGAGTTTGAGGCCAGTCTAAACTACACAGCCAGATTCTATCTCACAAAATTAAAATAGGCCAGGAAGATGGCTCAATAGAATAAGCGCTTGCCTGGCAAGTGCAAGGGCCTGAGTTCAAGCCCCAGTTCTGCCAAAAATAAAATAAAATAATTAAAATAAATAAAAAATAAGCAGTACACATAGGAACTAAGAAATGTTCCTTATGTATGTATACATGCTAATCCTTCATTTCTTTATCCAGAAAATAAATCACTAACTAGACCCAGCCCTACTGTATAGGGCAATCTCCCACATCTCTCTTATTCTCCCCTTTGCCTCTTTTTTTCCCTTTGCCTTCTCCAACCCTTTCTTCCTTGTGTATGCTAAGTATGTGTGCACTTTCTCACTATTACTCTCCAAGCCCCACTTTCTTACTTATTCCAGTATCATTAGTGCTTTTATTATGCCTTGATAGAGAATATGTGCTCGATAAGTACGTGACAGGACAACCCAATCAGGATTCCTAATGTCTCTCAGGAGCTAGTCCTATTCCCCAATAAAGATTTCTACTTTAAAAAAAAGTCTGGGGGGCTGGTGAGATGGCTCAGTGGTCTGAAGCCCCTACTTAGAACAAGCTTAGCAAAGCACAGGGACCGCGGTTCAATCCCCCAGCACCACAGGCCAGCCAGCCCCGCCCCCTGGTGGGCTGAGCTGGCCACACACACACACACACACATACACACATAAAGAAAAAAAAAAAGTCTGTCACAATGACATAAAATTAAGAGCTTGTTGTAAATCAACTCAAACTTTTTTTTTTGTGGATAGAACCAGGGATTCTACTGAGCTATCTCCCCAGCCCTACTCAAATTGTTTGGATGCTCATCTTCCTGCTTTAAATAAAAGAAACTGTTCATAAGTATTTTGGGGGTTTTCAGTTTGAAAAAAGGAGAAAATAGTACAATAGTATTTGCATGCTGAGTGCTAAGAATTTTAGCAACAATGTCCTATTTGCATAACACTTAAAAACCAAGACAAAACTGAGAGTACCTCCTAACAGATACCTCATTAAGTTCATTACCACATCTCTACCTATGTCCATGCCCCTTTCCAAGAAACCACTACTGCATATTCAGTGCGTATTTTGCAGTTCAAGCCCCAGTTCTGCCAAAAATAAATAAAAATGAAAATAAAATGCTTTTCTATTATTCGTATTATTTCACTTTGAAAAGGTACACCTCTCTATGATGAATATGATCATTATGTATATCTAAAATGTACCAATAAAATCTGACTAAAGATACATAAAATTTGTATTTCTTTTGGGCTCTGTGTTGTTATATACAGATCTATAGCGATAATTTGGTTGCTGATTTGTATTTGAGCAATGAACATATTTTCCCATAAAAAATAATGGAAACCAACTAATTGGTTATGAGGCCCCAAAACTACACTTATAAATTCATCCAGGACTTCCAACAAATTTTAGGGCCAGCCAAACAGCTCAGCAGATTAAAGCACCTGCTTGGACCAGGGGTTTGATCCCTGGACCCGTGGTGCTGGCCCCGCCCTTGGGGCATGTTGAGACAGCAATTGAGACTGGTGTGGTGGCACACAGCTGTTAATCCAGCTCTTAGGAGGCTGTAAACAGATGGATCATTGAGTCTGATCTAGCAGAGAGACCCTGAACACCTTGTAGGCCCTTCCCTAAAAAAAGTAAAATAAAATTGCAGTGATTTTCTTTCTTTATCATTCTGAGTTTTCCTCTTACCTTTTACCACTGGTATCACTTTCTTTGAAGCCATCATTATATTTTACACAAATAAAGCACTCACACACAAAAGCACAACGCCGAATGTTTTAATGGATAACAGAAACACTACATGTTGTCTGGGTGAAAGCAGGGCTTCAGACTGATGTATTACCCCTTGTGTCCAATGTTGAGACGCAACTCATGACTCACTCTTGGCTATACAGGTGTTTTCAGGTTGAATTTTTCATTTGACTATGGAAGAAAGTTACAAAAAACTAGCAAATTTATTCTGAATTTTGCTGTTTGAATAGTGGCAAGTTGGAGGTTGGAGCTGTCCAACAACTGAAGTATCACTGTAGTTAATTTTCAATTTTATATAGGTTTTTTTGTGTGTGTTTGTTTTTTTTTGAGACAAGATCTTGATATGTAGGTCAGGCTGCCTCTAAACTGTGTAGTCCAGGCTGGCCTCAAACTCTTATGGATCCTCTTCCCTCAGCCTCCCAAGTCCCGGGATTATAGGCATGCACCACCATACCCAGGTTTTTATACAGTATTTTATAATTAACTATTTTTCAAAAGGCAGTAAATACGTTTTTAGTTTTGAATGTTTGAAAAAAATGTCACAACAGACATTCTTTTTAAAAGTTTTATTTATTTGGTACAGGGTCTCACTATGCAGTTCAGATTCATATAGTGATTTTCCTGTCTCAGCTTCCCCAGCACTAGGATTACAAGAGTGTGCCATCATGCATGCACAGTTTCAGGCCAGCACTGCATGTGGTACCAGGGATTGAACCCAGATCCTTGGGCTTGCCAGGCAGGTGCTTAGACTGCCAAGCTATCTCCCTGGCCCCACAACTAACATTGTTACACTTGTCCCCTAATGTATACTGTTTCTTTTTTTCTTTCTTTCTTTCTTTCTTTCTTTTTTTTTTTTTTTTTTTTTTCTT